TCTCACCTGAATACAAATACCTCAGGAATGAATCAAATATTTCAGGTGTGGTGTCCGTAATGGTCACGCTGTTGGTCTTGGATTCTTCGAACTCGTGGGTCATCATATTCTTGAACACTGGAGAATGAGCAGAGAGGATTATTTTGTGAACTGGGAAGGATTGATCGCCCACTTTGAAAACAAAATCGCTAAACATACTGGGATCGTACATCGATTGTAAGTTTTTAAAAAAATCAAGATGTTTGTCTGACGTTAACACTTTGGCATCGAAGACAAAATGTGGCAATTGAAGGTAATCACTCAAAAGCATTATGCATTTTATAACCAAAGCATCGCTTTTCATATTCTCGCCATGAGAAGTAACATTTGGCATGTACTGATCAAATGGTGGCCGATTTTTTATGTGAGTGGCCTGAATTACATCATCGAAAGTCAGTACATCAACGTTTAAAAAAGAACTGCTTTTATATTCTGTGAAACGACAGCCATTGGTGTAATCAACTATTACATTAACAGTTGCTTCTAATGATGGAGATATAGGAGTGTCGACGCTCAGGTAAATATGAACTCGCTCAATAAACAGAAATAGTGGACTGTATGATTATGCACAATATTTATTTATTAATATTTGGAAGAGAGCTTTTTTGTAGCTCTTTACAGCTCTCCTTCCACACACGCACTCTCTAAGTTACATGTTATACTAGGTGGCGCTACAAATCCGTGCGGATACAAGGAGTATTACAGAGTTTTATTAGTTTCAATTTGAACAAAGAGTAATCAGGATACTCAGGTTTAGTACCTTTGACTTACTGATTAAAAGCTTCAAAATGAAATTTTATACCACCATCAGGCAGAGGCGAAAAAGTTGGGGTTACAACGTTCTGGAATAGGTGTTGATATTTTCCATTCACCTTCATATCGTTTGGAAAACTTTTCATCTATCTTGACAAGTCTGTTGAGATACAAAACCGCAAAGTTTAGATGCAGCTACTAATAATGGACTTGAAACGAATGATACATTAGAAATGCGAAAGGAGGAAACTAATGCTTTTTAAAAAAACAAAAACAAATTATCTTATCATTCATACACACTTTAATAGAATAGAGAAAA